CTCTCAGAAGAGACAGAGCAACATGTCCGTGTGTCTCCCTTGTCAATAGTAACTTTCTCACTATGGAGAGAGAACCGTGACCTAGTAAAATTAGCAAAAAATAAAGAAGTGAATTAACACTGTCAACCGACACAGATCTTTTAATAAAGCAGACACATAAAGAACATCAACATAGCAAAATATCTGCTGTGAGTCAGATGAAAGAGTTCAGCAGCTAATTAGGGTATGACGTTAGAAACAGCTTTATAGTCATGCATCAACAGTTCCACATCATGTGGAGACCTCAGATGAAATTTTCAACGTGGGCAGTAATGTAGTTCTCAAAAACGAGGGTGCAACGACGGCGGAGTTGAACTTGTGTGTGGTTCACCCAAAGGAAAAGACAAGACGAACTGGATACTGCATAAGAAATTTGAGGCCAGCTTCATGTAGACTGGATCAAATCAGTTTGAACTTGTTTCGGCATCTGCGGAGATCAGCAGAGAGATAAATACCTTAGAGTTCAGCCAGACAGCCGGAGGATCTTCTCTTAAGCGAAAATCAAACAAAGCAATCTAGCATAGGCCTTTTTCACCAGAAACAGAAGTGCATAAACACTGGGTAAAACAAGTTCCACTTTTGCCTTTTGGACAGTTACTAAACTCAGAAATACCGGCGTCTGTATTACTTCAGCTCACCACAGAAAGGTGTGTCACTTTATCTTTGTCATAGTGGCCAAGACTGAAATTCGAGGATGTGTCCAGAATTGTCAGAGAACACCAAACACACAACAATGTGGGAGTCCAGGCTAAATTAAGGGTTATATGATTCGTGGAAAAATTCCTTCACAGCTAGAGTACGATAATGTCAGCTAACATCTATAGAGTGATAAATCGATACGTAGGTAAAAATAACTATAACCAAATTGCTAGATCAGCCATATTAGCTGGCGATGTTGAAACAGCTCGCTTACAATAAACTAGTTAGAGCGGCAAAAATCTAAACACATGCATATTCTGGCAGACGGCACGCTGGGTCCTCAGGGTCCGTAGCGCCACTGTAGACGGTTTCTTGTTTGCATTTATAAGCACTCACCTGGTTTCCTAATACATTTAATCTGCAATGTGAAACTGTAAAATACTAAAAAGTTGCAAGGCTGAAGTCAGCTTCTTGTTCGAATTTTCCAACATTTTACGTTTTTTACTCCTGAACCATGGGGGCTACACTCAAAATTCTCGCTTCTACATAATTTGCTTTATTCTGTACAAACACTCCACTGCATATTTTTAGCTCCGCCCCCAAATGTATCATCATAATTGGCAAAATATGTGACATCTACATTTTTCTACTAGTCTGAGGTTTTTCAGGATATCAAAACAATATTGGTCTCAAAATGTCCAGGGGAGTCTGGAGATCAAGAATTATCAAAACAATTGAATATTCATAAACAATATGGCTGCCACATGCCAATTAAGCCCCTCTGGGTTTGGCTTAATTCACATAAATGGCTACAGATCAAGATTGCTTTGGCCAATTCACATCAAACTTATCAGTCCAATATCCCACATGATTCTGTGGAAGCCCACCAATATTAATGCCAATTACTCAATAGGGGGCGCTATAACAACCAAAAATCTGTTTCTCAGCAACCGCTTGGCCAATTGAGCAGAAACTTTGCATGCTATATCCATGGCCTAATATTTACAAGATCTACTAAGGACAACTGAATCATTGGCCAAATATGGCCGCCATTGGCCAATAAGCTTTCAACAGGCATTTGGAAGGCTTAGCATTGGCCAATCGTTACAAAAATTATATCATGTGTCCACATAGTCAATCTCTAATAGCCTATAAAGTTTGACTTCAATTGGCCATGAGGTGGTGCTATACAGCATAAACAAGAATAGGTCCTATAAATTTTATCATATATCAAAATAAATCAATACATATCATTGCTTACACTGAGAATGACATTTTATCAAACACAAGTCTTTTAAAAATAATCAATCAACGTTTGATCAATGTTTGAAAATTGAGCTTTTCGAACTAGGATTTTAAGACAATTGTTTCAATTTTGGTCTTAAAACGATCTGTGGAGCCCGTAGGTAAATAATTGTCAAGGTTTTATTGATTTTATTGCAAAGAACAGCCATAAGACACCAATGAATCTGTTCGGCCTAGCCTTTTCTTACTTAGGGGGCTACAGATTTAGTTTTTAGATTGTGATAAATCTTGGTAAACTTGTATACTAATAATTTATGAGGAGAAATGCAAAGTTTCATTTAAATTGATTGTCATAAGCCCCTACAATACTTAATCTAGTGTGTAATTATTAAAATGTCATTATATTGTTCTATGAATGAAATAAAGAAAAGATAGCGATTTCAAATTACACATCTCATTAACATCCAAAACATTGCAATTATATGTATGTTCCAAAATTGCACAGGAAATGTGGAAAATTGACTTAAACCCAGGTTGGCCACACAATTAATAACGGTAATATTTTTTCTGCCCAGCAGAGGGAGCATCAGCATTAAATGCAAATGATGACTTTAAACATACTTATGGTCGTAGTCTTTGCAACATCTACCTTGCGGCAAAGGAACTTTCTGAATTTTATGTATTCCACTGAGCCAAGCAATTTTGCTTATACAAGTCTAAACTATTAAAAAACTATTATTTTTCTGTAAATCATCAGAGTTTGAAAACTGATGTTTTCATACTGCTTGCTGAAATGTTTTTGCAACGTCTCAAACTTGGTCTCTAAACAACCGTCAAAGTCTCAAGATCAATAATTATTTAAAAAATCTTGCCTTTTAAGCACAATATTATTGCAAGTTATGGATCAGTCAGTGCGGTCCAACCTATTCGGAAACAAGGGACCACAAATTTGTCAGTTATGCTCTGATTGTGACCATAATTGATATATACTTTGACAATAATCAGCTGAGGAAACGTATGAGATTTGGCTTGAATTGGCTTATGTTGGCTCTTACAATGCTCAATGTACTGCCAACAATCCAAAATGTAATTATTCCTGTCTAAGATTAAAATAAAGACATGACTATTGTTTCAAATTACGCATCTTAATAAGAATTAACACTTTACAAATATGTGTAGGTTGCCTAACTGTATCATATAATTTGATTATATGATTATAATCATATAATTTGATTTAAACAAATTTTAATTAGTGCAAAAGGTGTTTTATATTTCTCTGGCCACTAGAGGGAGCCAAATCAGTAACTGCAAATGTCAATGTTGAACTAATTAATAAAAAATATACAATTAGTGGAAAGCTTTACTGTATGTCGTTAGGTCAAGACCATTTCTGTATTTTATGCTTTCCACCGTGCCTGACAATTTGCAAATACAAGTCTTTTAAAAAACTCTACTGTTTTTCTATTTTTCTTGCATTGTCTCAAATTTGGTTTCAAAACAACTGTTGAAGTCTCAAGATTAATAATCAGCAACAGTTTTTCTCTGGCCACCAGAGGGAGCCAAATCAGTAACTGCACGTCAGTGTTGACATATACATGGAAAGCTTTACTCTATGTCTTTAAGCGAAGAGCATTTCTGAATGTTATGTTTTCCACTAAGCCTAACAATTTTGCAAATACAAGTCTAAAAAACTTTCAGTAATATCACAGTTGAAAAAAGATGGAGAATAGACATTTCTTACTAATTGAGTTTAAATCAAATTTCATTTTTCTTAAAACAATCATATTGAAAATATCATGACTTTTAAGCACAGTGTGGCTGAAGATTTGAATAAATTGACGTGAACTGGCTTTTTCTGCTATAAAAGGCTAATAATACACCAATAATTGTCTGAATATAACCAAATTTGACACAAATATACAAAATGACAAACTGACAGTGTATTATGACTTCATTTGGAATTATACTCCTCAATAGTCAAAGTAATTGCAAGGTGGAAACTAATTCCCAAAATGGTGCTTTGTTCCTTATTGCTCCGTACCGATAAATTCTCTCAAAAAAACAGGTCTGCCGTGGGCCTCTTGTAGCTCACCATGAAAACATCCGCCTTTAAAGATTAACGTCACAGGTTTGATTCCCTGTCACAGATGTTGGATGGTGCTGTAGCAGTTGTTGTGAACACACACTTAGTTATCTTAATCTTAATGAAGGGTCTTTCTTAAAAATCCCACTATTTGCCTCATGTCCAGAGACATGAAATTTGTTTATGCTGCTACTTTGTCCTAAAATGGTGCGTGGTTCCTTGTTGCTTCCTTTCAATAAATTGTTTTAATTGTCCTTGTTGTCTTCAATTTTGCCACAGATGTCTTGTGGCTCACCATTAGAGCCTCCGCCTTTGAACTCTAGGGTTGTGGGTTCGAATCCCTGTCATGGATGTTAAAATGAGTTGCGCAGATTGTAGCAGATGTATCACCTAGTGGTCTTAATCATAGGAAAAGGAGATCTTTCTTAAAAGTCTAAAGATCTGCTGCCTTCTATGACCAAGGGCCACTACTTTATTCCTCGATGTCTTCCTGGTGCTTGGACCCCGCAGATTGCTGCTTGCGGCTATATTTGCTATTGTAATTGCTTTAGTGAAAGCAGCGTTGCCCTGCAACGTCTATTTCCAGCAGAAAAAAATACAGAAATAAAAAAGGGCCTATTGGCCATGGGGGAGCACCGGATAAAACTAAGCAACACCACCAGCAGCCGTGGGGGCAGTGTAGCCAATAGTTCAGGTAAGACACAACGCCAGTTTCTCTTACTGGTAATAGAGGTACAAAGAATTCCTCATCCATAAGTCACAAAGTATGTAATGGCCTCACAGACCACCACTGGTGCCTCTTTCGTAGTTTGTATATCATTATGCCCCCTCCACTGTTGCCATGTTTGTTGCTGTCAGAAACTTTGAACTTTGAACTGCCCTCTAGTGGATGTACTTCTTAACATCCACGCCAACGTAAAGGACGCTTGGAAGTATGTGGGCAGTGACTGTTACGTACATAAAGGGTGTAGAAACGAGCCTTTAGAAGTGCTAGTTACAATGCAGTTCCTTTTTGAGCTGTTTTAATCTATGTTGGTAATTGTTTACGTTTCAAAATGTTTAAATGAACAAACTTGACACTTAGAGAAGAATTAAACCTCAAAGCAGTAAACACCTTCTGCTAGAAGACATTTTCATGTATTCACTCTTTACACAGAATGACAGAGTTAACAATGTACATTATAGAATACATTTTGAATATATAATCTGATCAGTAAAAAGAACAGATAATAAAAAAAAAAAAAACTCCGTTTATATCTACCCTCTTACAGCTAAAAATACCAAAGAGTACTTCTTTGAAGGCCAAAGAAAAGTAATTGTATACATGAGTTTGAATAAAATAATGAGGTACAGGACCTAACCAAGTGCATAACAGATTCAGAGTGTACTTCACAAAAGAATTATATATATATATGTACATTTTCAACTGTTACAGTATTAAAAATATATGGAAAAGAAGGTATGTCCTGATGAAAAATTGCTCTAGTTTTTCTGTTGTATGGTAAGCAGAAAATACAACAGCAAATTCAGAAGAATCTAAAGATAAAGCAACAGAAAATGAAAGATCAGACCACCATCAAGTACATGTACTTGAGCAAATGTAACTAGATACTACCTATCTCTAAATATTGGACAACTTGACAGAACAAACAAAAGTGCTGGTTGTCAACAAATATATCCAAGAAGAGACACATGTCCTCATTTTTTTTAATGGACAAGGCCACATCTTTTCTCCTTCTCATTTTTGTCCCAGCTCTCTCTGCACGACATGTACTACTCCACAGTCTCTGTCGCCTCTTCCATCCATAGGATTTAGAGCTGCAAACATCACCAGAGAACTGGTTGGAATGGATCGTAAATATTGGTTCCTATAAAGTACAAAACATCTTTATTAAATACACTTCTTTGTATCTACACTTACTCTCCATTTTATCAGATCCACTTATCATATAGGTGCACTTTGTACGGCCACAATTTCAGACTGTAGTCCATCTGCAAAGTTTGTTTCATCCTTTAGTCCTTAATCAGTGGTCACAGGAAGCTACCCACAGGACACAGTTGGCTGGATATTTTTGGTTGATGGACTATTCTCAGTCCAGCAGTGATACAGAAGAGCTACTAGGGTGAATAAAAACTCCAGCAGACCAGTCTGATCTGTACCAGCACAATACACACTAACACGCCACCACCAGGTCAGTGGCACTGCAGTGCTGAGAATGATTAACCACCCAAATAATACCTGCTCTGTGGAGGTCCTGTGGGGGTCCTGACCATTGAAGAACAGGGTACAAGGGGTTCAACAAATTATGCGGAGAAACACACGGACCACCCTCTGTAATTGTACATCTATAAAGTGCATCCATATGTTAAGTTACGCTGATAAAATTGATAAAAAGTGTAGATAAAAGGAGATGAACCTAATGAAAAGGCCGGTCTGCAAACGCTGTCCTACTATCGCAGTGTAGTCAAAATTTTACTGTGCTTTGCAGGTCCTCCCTATTGCACAACAGTTTCAACCTAAAAAAGGCAAAGACTAACAGGGGCTTCTTCGTCAATCCTTGAAGCCTCCATGGAGTACCATGCAGTACAGCTTGGACGAGAGCATCAATTGCCCTGTTCTGTAAACTTTACCCAAAAGACCCCAACATCGGCCAGCATAACTCTGAATCGATAACTCAACTCATGATCTACTAATGACAGGCAGACTGATACCAGTGTGTCACTCCTGGTCTTAAAACTGAACTCTGACCTGGGTGATCTGCTTGAACTTCTTTATCTTTGGAAGTTGGAAGAGCAGTCCTAGTTTACCTCTCAGCAGGGCTTTTGACTGTGACAAAAGCAAGAGCATAATCACGTAAAAATAATAATAATAATAATAATAATAATAATAATAATAATAAGAAGAAGAAGAAGAAGACGAAGAAAAAGAAGAAGAAGACGAAGAAGAAGAAGAATACCAATGTTCATGAGGAGGTGGATAAAAATTTGAGCAATTAATGCATAGTATTTTCCTCATGCCTTTCACTTGGTGTCTTCCCCTTAACACGTACCGCCATCATAAGATAATGCATTCTCTTTGGGACTCATTAGACATATATGAATTGAAATCTTTAAAGTGATTTAATGGTACACAGTCAAACTTGTCTTAGCTTAGATACAGCTATAATTAGTGTGCATGTAAACAGCTACAGGTAATTCTGCTAGAACTGAACAGAATTTTAATAATCGCTTTATCGACTGCAGGGCAGCTGTTACATCCCAGAGGAAAGAAATATTATAAATGAGATCTCTTCTTCATCTCAGTTACTTCCCCTAGACGTAGTTAAGTCCAGTTCGAAATCAAAATTAGACTTCAGAACGTCTTATAGTGAAATGCTGATGTTAATCTCCTCTTTTCTCCTAATGGGGGATTAAGAGAAACAATTCAGAAGTCAGTGATTCTCCATTAATATAATATTGAGATCTGCTTTATTTCTCTGAGACAATCTTAAGACAGATTTTTTTTCCTCTGTGATCTGTTACATCTTAAATAATATAAGATATGCAAACTGTCTCTACATCACGTTTCAGAACTTTTAACAGGCTAGTTATCTAGAAATCACAAAGAATATTCTATGAAAACACTCAAACCTAAAATCAAAGATCTATATGTTGAAAATGTTCAATCATACTGAGTTACAACAAAAGAAGCAGATGAGTGATTCAGCAACTTGAAAAACTGAAAGCACAATTAAACTGGTTTAACATTAGGATAATTTGTCGAACAACACTAAAGACGACAGATTAACTATGTAGTCTTAGCTAATGCTAACGCTGGCCTGCTATCCTATAAACTAGTTATAGTAGCTAGCTTAGCAAACTAAAAACCTTCTTTAAAGTCTTGTGTTAAGTACAATTTTCCCCGACTATCCATAAGGTGATAATCTAATTTGGAACTTACTCTGTTGTTTACTGATGAAATTAGCAGCAGACACAGCAGAAAACAACAATAGCACCCCTGAGCTTTAAAAATGAACATATCTTCCACCTCATATGAGAGACCCCAGATGACATCACAGGGTTCTTCTGCTGGAGCTGCAAGAAACAACCTCTCTCTGGAGGTATGCAGCCAAATGCTACTGCGAAACTAAAGTCGTTGCATGTATTAACTAATTTGTCCATGGCTTATGTATAGTAACTAGCTCACGTTGCTCATCTTTCATCCAAAGCTAAGGAAAAAAAGGCACTGTTCATTACATTTAACAGTTTATCATCTACATGTTCTTTAAATTTTCTTCTGTCACCACACAGAGGGAAATGGACAAAGGTTAAAAGTACTTAGCTATGTACTGTCTCCAAATGTTTTTACCAGTTTAATCACACATTACTGGACTTACCAACCATCCTTTTAGTTTTTGGTACCTCAAGTAATCACATACAACGCACAAACACTGTATTCCTGCAAACAGTTGCTCTTGTGGACAAGAACTATTGCTCTTTTACCATCACCAGCATACTCTGCATATTTGAATTGGGATTTTAACTGAGATTTTAACTGGAAACCATTCCTTATTTGATTAAATGTTCACCATTTAAACATCTACATTTCTTACATACACAGAGTTTTGAATTCTCAATCCCAATATAGTATACCGTGCCAATATAGTATATATTTTCTTGTGTGGAATATAACTAATGTTCTGTTATCTTTAATTTTGCCACAAAACTATAATTACTCTTGAAAAACAGGAAAGAATGTTATGTTACAAGAACTTCAGCAGCCTTTGTCTGTAGCCATTTTGCCTGATGTTCAGTTGTACGATCCTGATAACCAAAGCCGTTTTTTATCTGCTGAGGTCTGAAGACGTCCTAAAACGTACACTCTGACGTAGCGAACTCTTTGCACAGTCATGATATCTGCCAGCCACAACAGCTTGTTCAACCAGCGCAGTTCAGTCACATTTCTAGAACATCCATGCCAGACAAGAGGTATTAATGTACCACATCAACCAATATGTTTAAAGATCTATTATGTTCACATCTGGTAATTCTAGTTTCTTGCTATGGTTTGCAAGAAATAAAGCAACAAATGAACAACTTTTTTTAAAAAACTTGTGGTAAATGAGTTTTTAACCGTCACATAAATTAACATGATTAGGTTCACTAAAGAAAAATGACTAGACACATCATCATACTTCAAGAAAAAAAAACAACACTATGTATATTAGAGCTGCAACAAACGACTAATTTGATAATTGAATAATCTATCAATTACTAAAATGAAAAATCGATTTAGATTATGAATCACTATATTACCAAATAAGTTATGTAGCTATCAGTTTTTCAATTTAGCTTTAAGTTATTTTATGCATTTGCTAACTAACAAAGACAAAAAAGATGAATAACTTATTCAAAAATTCACTGTTTTAATGAACTTCCCTGCTAATACAAAAGAAAAAGTAAAACTCCAATTTCTTTTTCCTGTCAAAATTGAAAACTAAGTATGTGCAAAGTAGCAATAATAAAATATAACAAAAATAAAATCAGTTTATCTTTAATCAAGTAAATTAAAAAAAAAAAAACAATCTAAATTAAATTTTAAATTTAAACAGTGCAGTCTGTGCTTTGTGCATTCTGCTCTCTATCTACAGCAGGGGTTGGCAAATTTTAAGAAAGGCCATTTTGTCCTTTCAGCAAAAATCAAACCACTTTGAGAGCCACAACATTTTATGTCCATTTTACCATATGTTTCAGTATGGGCTACTGTACTAGTATAGGCTAAAAAAAAATGTAATATAAATGAAAACACAGACTTACTTTGCTCTGCTTTAAGCTTTAGCTCAGCTATAGCAGCTTTTCTCACATATCCACCAGGAAACTTTTTCGTAAAAGTGGAATAATTTCTTGCAAAATGTCTCTCAACGTTAACCTTCTATGAGGCTGAGGTCAGCTTCCTGTTCCACCTTAAACGGTGCTTGAGGCGCCAGAATGTAACTGCTGCACCGTTTAAGGTGGAACGGGAAAACGGGAAAAAACAGAAGCTGGCAAATGAGAAGCTGACTTCAGCTTTGACACCTTTTAGTGTTTGACAGTTTTTTGTTGCAGATTAAACATATCAGGAAACCAACTGGAGTGATTATAAATGCGAATAAGTACATCGGTTTCCAAATTATCAATATCCATCCTAAATCTTTCCCTTTACTGCTGTCTATGTTGCTGTGATCTACACACTGTTCCAACTAAATTCTACAAATCACAGGTCTTTATTGAAACGGAGGAAAGTCCGTGCTCTTGTGAGAGGCTTGCTCTCTTCTGAGAGCAGATATTCACCGCCACAGAGAAGATGCACTCTGATGAAGCGGTTGGGAAAGTGGTTTTTGCAAAAATATTTGTGGCAAACTTGTTCTCTAAACAGTGGTAAACAGCCCTGTATGTTCGCAAAGAACTACATCCTGAAACTGTTTGCCACCACCCGCAGGAATTAGAAAACCGTTTGCAACTGTTGGCAAACATTCTCCTATGTTCGTCAAATTTGAACGCACCAGTGGCCTCGACGTTAAGACAGCGATGCAGTTTTTAAGCCGGTCAACGTCATTTGGAATGTGAGCAGGGTCATTGTGAATAATAATTACTTGCTTCTCTGTTCCAACTCCATTAACAATTTAAGAGAACAGGCATTTCATAATAGAAAATGTTACAGCTCATAACAAAGTATGACAGCTTTTAACAATAACATTAGCTAACTAGCTAGCACAGCTAACTTACTGAGATGAACCTTCTTCATCCAGTGAGCCGACATGTTTTTTTCTTCAGATCTTACACTTTTACACATGATTTTGTTCTTGAGACTGCCATCACGTGTTTGTCTCCAGTGAGCGGTAACCTCAAAACATTCCTAGTGAGCGCGTGTAATGACGTCACCAACAAATCAACTATTGCCAACTAATTTGGTCGTTGATTTTAGTCGATTAAGCCGAGTAATCGTTGCACCCCCAAAACACACACAACATGTCATGGTCCTTAACAACTATTGCCAACTTAACAACTAAAAATTATACAGACTTTCTAAGAAAAGAAAATAAAATAAATAAATAAACACCTGCACAATTTCTATTGAAGAATAGGAATTTAAAATTCTTCATCCAATTTAGAATTCGTGAAAAAGCTCTTACCTCAAGCATTACTACACAGATCTGCTTTACACACTCAATGACGGACTGTGGGGTGCCAGCAATGGTTATGGCGCGCTCTGTGGAGTTTGGCAGCATATCTCCTGCAACCTGCACTTGGGCACCAGTTGACTTTGAAGAAACCAGAGATATTAGATATCACCTTTTCTGGAACTATAAACATAAATAGCAAAACTTTAAATTGGTTGCCCAGACATTACTTACCTCTCGTATTTCTTTAATCTTGCAGCCACCTTTCCCAATGAGGGACCCACACTGACTTGCTGGCACAACAATACGCAGGGTCACAGGGGGTTTGCTGGTGGCTGTACTGTTGTTCATAAAGCTACTGATGTCCTGCAAGGAAAGAGGTAGATTAATAGAATGGCTAGTCAGAGGTAGCAGCCTAAAAAAAAAAGGTTAACATTCCTGTGTTAGGTGTTTACCTCCTCTAGTTTATCAATTATCATTGAAAATGCTTTAAAGATGGCAGTGGTTGGGCCTGCAAGGGTGATGATTCTCTCTGGACAGTTGCCTTCTGAAATGTTGATCCGTGCACCACTCTTGAAAGGAGCAAACAGCACTGTTAATTTTACGATGAAATGACATTACCTGTAAAATTTCAATATAATTATGGGTTTCAACGAACAGTTACATTAACCTTACCTCATCTCTCATTTTCTTCACAGATTCACCTTTCTGTTTGAAAGAGCAAAAAATCAAATGACAGTTTAAACTTTCAAGGAGAGAAAGTGAGCTGTGTTTAAATTACAGAGGAATAAATAAAGATCTACCAACCTTGCCGATTATGCTTCCAACTTCCTGTACAAACATACAGATATTTATAAAAAAGTACTTTACTATTGTATTTACAACTCCATTTCCAAAAAAGCTGGGACGCTGTGAAAAACGTAAATAAAAACAAAATGCAATGACGTGCAAATCATTTTTCTGCTTATCTGCTGTGATTCTGACTCTGTTCTGCTGTTATCAAATACACCTGCTCAGTTAATTAAGACATGGTGCACAGACTGGAATACTGCTTCTTCCATACAATAAATATAATACTTCCATAGAGTACCTACAATAAATAATAATACATGTGAATTTTCACTTTTGCATTAACGTCTTCTAAAACATTATTTATAAATGCAAAGTCTGTGCAGGTTTAGAATAAAGGTTCACAACTGATGCTAGCAGCTAAACGAAAAATAAAATGTGACCTTGCCATGCATGAGTAGTCTGATGGTCAGGGTGACATTGAGCCCTCCTTCTATCACACTGGAGTCCATAATGACAGCTTGAATGAAGAGTAACTTGAAGGTGGTAAGCAAGGGTTTTTTTTGGTCACAAAAGCTGGACCTGAAGCAAGCAAGAGCAAAAAATAAATCAATTTTATAGTGATAATTTAAAGTATCCATCACAGCGATTCCACCTCAACAAACAGCAAAAGTCTAGCACAATATTCCAGTTAGTTCAAGTCTAACTTACAGTCCAATATCACACAGTTCGTACAACACCCTACAGATTAATAATGCAAGTTGAAATAAAAACATAGTCTCAATTTTATCAGTAAAAAACATTCTAAAATAAATTATTACTTTTCCCAAAGGAAAAATGTCTTTTTTAAGCTCCAGGAGAAATAAAGCGTATCTAAACATTGCATCAATGAAGGACACCAAATTTCTGAATTCTTTCTGAAACATTCCTCAGGACAAAAGATGAGCTTAAAAATACATATATAATTGAAAGAGGTTCCGGAGACAAATAAGTAAATCATAATATCTCCTTCTACATTGATAAATTACTGAAAGATTTGCGATATGTGGAAGAAATTGAGCAGTATTTTGGAGATTTTTATGCTAGTCGAGCGCTAGGCCAAACAAACTCTGGAAACATTCTTCTTACAAGAAACATTTTAACTATCACAAATAGCTATGTAGCATGTTGGTGAATGACTAAGCTCATGAGAAAGCAGTTGGAAATGTCAACCACAAAAAACACTTCACTGATTTAGTTTTAGTCATTTATTTTCAAATTGGTGTGTAAATATCCCAACTAGCACCAAACTTCACCAAAACTTTTAACAGATCACTTAAACTCTGTTCTGTTCCCTCATGCTTTAAAATATCTACCATCATTCCTGTCCACAAAAAAAACAAACATCAGTGGACTATATGACTACAGACCAGAGGCCCTTACTAGGGCTGCAACGATTAGTCAACATAATCGACAACGTTGATTATAAAAATGTGTCGACTTAGAATTTGTCTGAAGAAGACGAGGGAAAAAGAGGAAGATCAAAACTTTCAAAAGTATGGGAGCATTTCAGCAAAAATAAATCAATGAAACAAGCTGAATGCAGACACTGTAAGGCAGAGTTGTCATTTCACGGCAGCACCACGGTGATGCATGAGCATCTGAAACGCAAGCACCCTGGAGCAGTGATGTTGAACGTTACTCCGAAAGGGTAAGTGCTTTCTACCACTTCGTTCTTCAGCCAACTAATGTTAGTATCAGAATGTTTGTTAGTTTCCCCGTTGGAAAACAAGGTCTCATGGATTGTTAAGGTTAAAGATACTCTTAAATCAGCCAAGAACAAGATTTCCCTGACAGCTGATGCCTGAACCAGTGTTGCCACAGAGGCATATCTTGGCATCGCTTGTCACTTTATAAGTGATGAGTGGGAGCTCACTAGCTTCTGCCTCACAACCATTCCACTAGAAGGATGCCAAATTGGACCTAACATTGCTGCATGGATTGAGAAGACTGTGGAAATTGAGATTCCTCCAAGCAAGATTATGGCAGTTGTCCATGACAATGGCTCCAACATTGTCCTGGCAGCAAAGATCCTGCAGGAAAAACATGAGTGGATGTCTGTCCGCTGCACAGGCCGCACTTTACAATTGGTGGTCAATCATGCATTGAAACAACCTCAGATCAGTAAAGCACTACGAGCAGCGAGGTGTCTTGTGGAGCACTTCGAACGAAGTGAACTGGCTTCAAGCAAGCTGAAAACCAAGCAAAAACACATGGGGACCCCAGAACACAAACTTGTCCAGAACGTCTCTACCAGGTGGAACAACACCTATTATATGATGACCCGCCTGATGGAACACAGAGACCTTAAAGCTGATCAGTGGACACTGATAGAAGAACTGGCAAAAGCTCTCCAGGCCTTTGAATGTGCCACTGTCTACCTAAGTAGTGAAAGCTATGTGACAGTCTCTGCCCTGCCTCCTCTGGTCAGAGGGCTATTTAAGTCCACACAGACAGGCTATGATACAGCGCTATGATCAGTGCATGCTGGTCAAGAGAGGTCACTGTCACAGATGATAACCCAGTAAACAGATCTTGGCAGCTGCACTAGATCCACGTTTTCTAAAACTGAAAGTCCTGACACCAGAGGAGAGGTTGAGTGTTCAGAATAAAGTTCAAACTTTGGCCTTACAATGCATAGATGGGAGTAGTACTGTGAAGAACCAGCGCACCAGTGGGAATGAAGAAGCCATGGCATCAACTCACGAGCATGCCAAAGCCTCAGTGGAGAGAACTCCAAGTAGGTCAGTTTCAGCTATCAAGTCTGGGATGTAACTCAGCAGACAGTGACAGTGAGACCAATGAGCAGGATGCACACAACCAGATGATAACTAATGAAGTAAGATTTAGTTATTTAAATAGGAACAGTACATATTAATGAACATTTAAAAACAAATATAACATGCCAGATTTAGCCTTCACCTCCAGGCTAATTTTAATTTGTCCTCTTAGGGCAGGTGCTGATGTACTTCAGGGAGCAGCTCATCTCAAAAACAGAAAGTCCCGTCTTGGTGGAAGTTGAACGAGGCAAAGTATCCAACTCTTGCATGACTAGCCAAATCATTGTTGTATATTCCTGCCACTTCTAGTCCCTCTGAGCGTCTCTTCTCAGCAGCTGGGAACATTACGTTACAACATTACAAGTTGTAAACTTGTAACTAAAGCTTATAGTTATTTTGGACTGGTAGAAGTTCTTTTTATTTTTACATTTGAAGCCTTATTTGAACCTTTGGACCTCCAGACCCAGCTGGATTTTATATAGGATGGACTTTTTTTACTTTTGCTTACTTGAACACTTAAGCAAACTTATGATATTGTTTGTTTTTGACTTGTTTTTGTTAAGACTTCTGCAACTTAATAGCCCTATTTCAACTATTTTGAGTTACATTTTTGCACATTTTCTCAAACTGAAAGCCTTCTTGAACTTTAATTTGTATTATTAAATTAGCTTATTTCACTTTTATTGTGATTCCATGTATTAATGTCACAAATACATTTAATTAAGCTATCAAGCTTAAGTTTCATATTCATGTTTCATGGGTCACCACTCTAAACCATACTGTAAGAGCCATGTTAGTCCATCTATTTAACTTATTACCAATTTTACTGCCTAGATTACTATATCCAAGTAGTGACTGTATGGGAATAGAGATCTGTGTTAGTTTTCCATTATGTAATGACTGAAATACATATAATAGGCATGGCAGAATACCTACTTTTATGACTTCTATTCAATTGGACATATCTAAGGGCAATATTGACCACCTATCTATATCTGACTTTGTTGCTTTATTTATGGAGCCTTAGTTAGTTTGGTATAAATGTATAGTATCCTTTGGTAAACGTATTCCCAAGTATTTAATTAAAAGTAGCATCCCATTTAAATTTATATTTTTCCTTAATTTCTTCTGCAGGTTGATAATTATATGTGAGAATTTGTGTTTTATTTATATTCAACTTGTATCCGGAGAAGGATCCAAATTGTTCTAAAAGTGAAAAAAGTTCTGGAATACTGGAGTCGGGGTCCGCCAGGGATTCCCTTCCAGCTATTATCCCCTTTATTTTAGTGTTTTCCTGCACAGCCTGAGCCAAAGCTTCGGAGACAACGAGTACCTTGGCATGTTCCTCTCTTGAGCTTAACTGTTTTCGTTAGATGGCCCCTAACTCTTTTTCTGGCAGTTGGCGAGGTACATAAAGATCTAAAACACTATGCTTTTATCATTAAATCCCATTCTGGCAAGAGTTAAATATAAATACTCCCAGCTAACTGAATCAAATGCTTTTTCTGCATCCAAACTAATTAAAGCTGAGCTAATATGTTCTTTTTGAATGTAACTAATTATGTGTAATGTTCTTCATATGTTGTCTTGTGTCTATCTGTTCCGTATAAAACCAGTTTGGTCCAAATCTACCAATTCTGGAATGATAGTTTCTAATCTTTTTGCTAAAATGGACGCATATAACTTATAATCCACATTCGACACTGAAATAGGTCGAAAGGATAAGCATTTCACCCTATCCTTCCCTTCTTTAGGGATAACAGAAATGATGGCCTATCTTAGATATTTTATACCACTCAGAGAGGAAACCATCACTTCCAGTGGATTTATTTGATTTGAGGTTTGAGATAGCTTTCTTTAATTCCTCCTTAGTTATACCTGTGGTTATAGTTGGAAGATCTAGTGAATCTAGAAAAGATTTTATACTCCCTACTAGGGCTGGGCGATAAAGCCAAAAATCTAAATCTCGATTATTTTCAAATTTATTAACGATTCTCGATTCCGATGGTTCTTGCATAATGCCAGTAGAAAAAGACAATTTCTTTTTTGCACTTTAATTTAAAAGACTGCAGAAGTACAAAAATAGTAACAGCACCACCTATAATTATTAAATTAAATATCCTTTCAAGGGACTCAAACTGTGCAAGCACAACAAAATTTGTAACAAAAAAATTACAGTAATTAAAACATGAAAGAACCATTTTCATTAGTAATATTCTTTTAAGAAGGAGCAAGCAGCTTCCTTAAAGCTCTCAAGCAACTCTCACTTTAAATAATATGCAAGTATGAGCTCCTTACATTAAGAAAAGTGCAAACCACAAAGTTCTTACAGGTTTCTTGAAAGGAACACAGGCCTATCTACTGATTCAGGCCATCTGAAAGGTAAAGGCCTCAATAGACTTCTTGCGGAGACGATGTGCCGTAATTTCGGAGAAAATGAACAACCACAGACGTCGTGCCGAGGCTTCGTTCGCCATGTCACGCACATGGCAGCTGGGCGAACTCCACGGACGAAGACCCTACGCGACAGAGCCTCTGATTGGTCGGTAAAAAAAATGACTGGTCGGTAAAGGTAAAAAAGAGGTGTGCCATTACACAAAGGTGGACAACTTTGAGGAGCTGCGACAGACACACTAATATTTCACTGTGAAACGCGCATTTGTTAAATAAACTAAGAATATCTCCTAAATGTAAGATGCTAAGTCTGTTATTCGGCAATACTAACTAGTAATGAGCACCAAAACATACAGGTCATCTTAGGTT